CGCAGGAAAAACCGACGAAGGACGAGTAGAAGAAGTGCACAAACACAGCGCTGAATGTAGAAAACGTCTTGATGGGTTACGATAGGAGCACACAAAAAAGGGCCCGATGTACAAGAAATGAGGTTCAACACGGCAGAGAGTTGGGCGAGTTGGTTAAGCATCTTAATAGGTGGGAACAGCGCAGGAAAAACCGACGAAGGACGAGTAGAAGAAGTGCACAAACACAGCGCTGATAACGTCTTGATGGGTTACGATAGGAGCACACAAAAAAGGGCCCGATGTACAAGAAATGAGGTTCAACACGGCAGAGAGTTGGGCGAGTTGGTTAAGCATCTTAATAGGTGGGAACAGCGCAGGAAAAACCGACGAAGGACGAGTAGAAGAAGTGCACAAACACAGCGCTGAATGTAGAAAACGTCTTGATGGGTTACGATAGGAGCACACAAAAAAGGGCCCGATGTACAAGAAATGAGGTTCAACACGGCAGAGAGTTGGGCGAGTTGGTTAAGCATCTTAATAGGTGGGAACAGCGCAGGAAAAACCGACGAAGGACGAGTAGAAGAAGTGCACAAACACAGCGCTGAATGTAGAAAACGTCTTGATGGGTTACGATAGGAGCACACAAAAAAGGGCCCGATGTACAAGAAATGAGGTTCAACACGGCAGAGAGTTGGGCGAGTTGGTTAAGCATCTTAATAGGTGGGAACAGCGCAGGAAAAACCGACGAAGGACGAGTAGAAGAAGTGCACAAACACAGCGCTGAATGTAGAAAACGTCTTGATGGGTTACGATAGGAGCACACAAAAAAGGGCCCGATGTACAAGAAATGAGGTTCAACACGGCAGAGAGTTGGGCGAGTTGGTTAAGCATCTTAATAGGTGGGAACAGCGCAGGAAAAACCGATGAAGGACGAGTAGAAGAAGTGCACAAACACAGCGCTGAATGTAGAAAACGTCTTGATGGGTTACGATAGGAGCACACAAAAAAGGGCCCGATGTACAAGAAATGAGGTTCAACACGGCAGAGAGTTGGGCGAGTTGGTTAAGCATCTTAATAGGTGGGAACAGCGCAGGAAAAACCGACGAAGGACGAGTAGAAGAAGTGCACAAACACAGCGCTGAATGTAGAAAACGTCTTGATGGGTTACGATAGGAGCACACAAAAAAGGGCCCGATGTACAAGAAATGAGGTTCAACACGGCAGAGAGTTGGGCGAGTTGGTTAAGCATCTTAATAGGTGGGAACAGCGCAGGAAAAACCGACGAAGGACGAGTAGAAGAAGTGCACAAACACAGCGCTGATAACGTCTTGATGGGTTACGATAGGAGCACACAAAAAAGGGCCCGATGTACAAGAAATGAGGTTCAACACGGCAGAGAGTTGGGCGAGTTGGTTAAGCATCTTAATAGGTGGGAACAGCGCAGGAAAAACCGACGAAGGACGAGTAGAAGAAGTGCACAAACACAGCGCTGAATGTAGAAAACGTCTTGATGGGTTACGATAGGAGCACACAAAAAAGGGCCCGATGTACAAGAAATGAGGTTCAACACGGCAGAGAGTTGGGCGAGTTGGTTAAGCATCTTAATAGGTGGGAACAGCGCAGGAAAAACCGACGAAGGACGAGTAGAAGAAGTGCACAAACACAGCGCTGAATGTAGAAAACGTCTTGATGGGTTACGATAGGAGCACACAAAAAAGGGCCCGATGTACAAGAAATGAGGTTCAACACGGCAGAGAGTTGGGCGAGTTGGTTAAGCATCTTAATAGGTGGGAACAGCGAAGGAAAAACCGACGAAGGACGAGTAGAAGAAGTGCACAAACACAGCGCTGATAACGTCTTGATGGGTTACGATAGGAGCACACAAAAAAGGGCCCGATGTACAAGAAATGAGGTTCAACACGGCAGAGAGTTGGGCGAGTTGGTTAAGCATCTTAATAGGTGGGAACAGCGAAGGAAAAACCGACGAAGGACGAGTAGAAGAAGTGCACAAACACAGCGCTGAATGTAGAAAACGTCTTGATGGGTTACGATAGGAGCACACAAAAAAGGGCCCGATGTACAAGAAATGAGGTTCAACACGGCAGAGAGTTGGGCGAGTTGGTTAAGCATCTTAATAGGTGGGAACAGCGCAGGAAAAACCGACGAAGGACGAGTAGAAGAAGTGCACAAACACAGCGCTGAATGTAGAAAACGTCTTGATGGGTTACGATAGGAGCACACAAAAAAGGGCCCGATGTACAAGAAATGAGGTTCAACACGGCAGAGAGTTGGGCGAGTTGGTTAAGCATCTTAATAGGTGGGAACAGCGCAGGAAAAACCGACGAAGGACGAGTAGAAGAAGTGCACAAACACAGCGCTGAATGTAGAAAACGTCTTGATGGGTTACGATAGGAGCACACAAAAAAGGGCCCGATGTACAAGAAATGAGGTTCAACACGGCAGAGAGTTGGGCGAGTTGGTTAAGCATCTTAATAGGTGGGAACAGCGAAGGAAAAACCGACGAAGGACGAGTAGAAGAAGTGCACAAACACAGCGCTGATAACGTCTTGATGGGTTACGATAGGAGCACACAAAAAAGGGCCCGATGTACAAGAAATGAGGTTCAACACGGCAGAGAGTTGGGCGAGTTGGTTAAGCATCTTAATAGGTGGGAACAGCGAAGGAAAAACCGACGAAGGACGAGTAGAAGAAGTGCACAAACACAGCGCTGAATGTAGAAAACGTCTTGATGGGTTACGATAGGAGCACACAAAAAAGGGCCCGATGTACAAGAAATGAGGTTCAACACGGCAGAGAGTTGGGCGAGTTGGTTAAGCATCTTAATAGGTGGGAACAGCGCAGGAAAAACCGACGAAGGACGAGTAGAAGAAGTGCACAAACACAGCGCTGAATGTAGAAAACGTCTTGATGGGTTACGATAGGAGCACACAAAAAAGGGCCCGATGTACAAGAAATGAGGTTCAACACGGCAGAGAGTTGGGCGAGTTGGTTAAGCATCTTAATAGGTGGGAACAGCGCAGGAAAAACCGACGAAGGACGAGTAGAAGAAGTGCACAAACACAGCGCTGAATGTAGAAAACGTCTTGATGGGTTACGATAGGAGCACACAAAAAAGGGCCCGATGTACAAGAAATGAGGTTCAACACGGCAGAGAGTTGGGCGAGTTGGTTAAGCATCTTAATAGGTGGGAACAGCGCAGGAAAAACCGACGAAGGACGAGTAGAAGAAGTGCACAAACACAGCGCTGAATGTAGAAAACGTCTTGATGGGTTACGATAGGAGCACACAAAAAAGGGCCCGATGTACAAGAAATGAGGTTCAACACGGCAGAGAGTTGGGCGAGTTGGTTAAGCATCTTAATAGGTGGGAACAGCGAAGGAAAAACCGACGAAGGACGAGTAGAAGAAGTGCACAAACACAGCGCTGATAACGTCTTGATGGGTTACGATAGGAGCACACAAAAAAGGGCCCGATGTACAAGAAATGAGGTTCAACACGGCAGAGAGTTGGGCGAGTTGGTTAAGCATCTTAATAGGTGGGAACAGCGAAGGAAAAACCGACGAAGGACGAGTAGAAGAAGTGCACAAACACAGCGCTGATAACGTCTTGATGGGTTACGATAGGAGCACACAAAAAAGGGCCCGATGTACAAGAAATGAGGTTCAACACGGCAGAGAGTTGGGCGAGTTGGTTAAGCATCTTAATAGGTGGGAACAGCGCAGGAAAAACCGACGAAGGACGAGTAGAAGAAGTGCACAAACACAGCGCTGAATGTAGAAAACGTCTTGATGGGTTACGATAGGAGCACACAAAAAAGGGCCCGATGTACAAGAAATGAGGTTCAACACGGCAGAGAGTTGGGCGAGTTGGTTAAGCATCTTAATAGGTGGGAACAGCGAAGGAAAAACCGACGAAGGACGAGTAGAAGAAGTGCACAAACACAGCGCTGATAACGTCTTGATGGGTTACGATAGGAGCACACAAAAAAGGGCCCGATGTACAAGAAATGAGGTTCAACACGGCAGAGAGTTGGGCGAGTTGGTTAAGCATCTTAATAGGTGGGAACAGCGCAGGAAAAACCGACGAAGGACGAGTAGAAGAAGTGCACAAACACAGCGCTGAATGTAGAAAACGTCTTGATGGGTTACGATAGGAGCACACAAAAAAGGGCCCGATGTACAAGAAATGAGGTTCAACACGGCAGAGAGTTGGGCGAGTTGGTTAAGCATCTTAATAGGTGGGAACAGCGCAGGAAAAACCGACGAAGGACGAGTAGAAGAAGTGCACAAACACAGCGCTGATAACGTCTTGATGGGTTACGATAGGAGCACACAAAAAAGGGCCCGATGTACAAGAAATGAGGTTCAACACGGCAGAGAGTTGGGCGAGTTGGTTAAGCATCTTAATAGGTGGGAACAGCGAAGGAAAAACCGACGAAGGACGAGTAGAAGAAGTGCACAAACACAGCGCTGCACACAAAAAAGGGCCCGATGTACAAGAAATGAGGTTCAACACGGCAGAGAGTTGGGCGAGTTGGTTAAGCATCTTAATAGGTGGGAACAGCGCAGGAAAAACCGACGAAGGACGAGTAGAAGAAGTGCACAAACACAGCGCTGCGCAGAGAGTTGGGCGAGTTGGTTAAGCATCTTAATAGGTGGGAACAGCGCAGGAAAAACCGACGAAGGACGAGTAGAAGAAGTGCACAAACACAGCGCTGTGTTTGTGCACTTCTTCTACTCGTCCTTCGTCGGTTTTTCCTGCGCTGTTCCCACCTATTAAGAGCTTCAATTGCCCACACTCCATCGCGCATGCGCGGTGCCCGTGGCGTACGCCGTCCGCTGTGGGTTTGTTTGTAAACATAAGTTGATCTATATAGGTTGCCTCAGCGTAATACCAGACGCCATTCATGCGTCCATAGTCCAGGGACTCGGCATCGTTCGTCTGGGTGATACGCGCTGGAAAGGTGCACGTGAGGGTAGAAATCATGCGGCTCCACTTACCTAAATATTCCAAGTTCCTTGATCAATCTTTCGATGGTCAGCCGTATAGCAATTCCAGCTTCTGGACTTTCGGGGGCATCGCTGAAAGAACCATCAATGGGAGCCCCCATGTTCGTTTATGCTGACGCCGTGACACATTATTATAGACCTTTGCAAAAATCGCCTTCTGCGTGCTTCCATCTTTGTCTGCCGGGCTTTGGAACGCCCTATGAGCATGCGCTGTAGCTCTGTTGTACTGTATATCAGTCGCTGCGCATGCGCCAACAACTCCGTGACTCAGCATTTTTCGCCCGGGTGATAACCGATGCAAAGGTCTATAAGGCAAGACTCGACTCGTTTGTTTGTTGTTACAGAAAGCTCGCACATATCGTAGTGCAAGAACGTCAGAAATGCATAGTCACGAAGCTTCAAGAACAACACCGATGCCAAGGGTGCTGTAAAAAGCAAAAAAAAAAAAAATCTTGTTTTATGCGCAGCCCTTCTCTTCACAAGAACCTGGGTTTCAGATGATTATACGCCTCGCAAGTGGGCTCATTTTTGTCTTCTGCGCATGAGAAAGGAAGTAGCGGTGACGTCAGAACGCCGAGCCCTGATTGGCTGATCGCGACCCCCTATCTCAGCGTCGTCTGCTCCTTTGCAACGTTGTCTGCTCGCAACATCGTCTGCGTCTGTCTTACCTTTCGTGCGACTTCGCCTTTCAGAGAGGGCAGACGAAATAACTCGAGCGGTACGTTGTTTTTGTCTAACAACTAGCAGACGCGCATCAAGGAGGGAAGTCAAAGGACTCACTGGCGAGGTGTCCCGAGGCGCCGAGGTTTGTTTGCTAAGAACCGAGAGTGAGGGTGGCTAGTGTCCGCAAGTTCCCTCCCAAATACTTTTTCCCTCCTTTCGTGTGCGGCGAGACCCCTCATTCTTTAACGGCGTCGGCGGGTTGGCGCAGTTAACGTCGTCTGCTTTACGTCTGCTAGTCAAAGCGATGGCTGCTTTACCTTTCCTGCGTCTGTCGGAGATTCACCGCTTTTTCACCGGCGAGAGTCACCGTTGCCTCGGGAAACAAGGAGATAACAAGAGGAAGAAATTGACCTCTTAATCTAAAACTGAGGTAAGCGATCAAAGTATAATGCGGGAAGAGTTCACAAGGGTCGCGCGGGCATATTCCATTAGCACACCAGCCGGTCGTGGGCAGACGGTCGCCGAGTCGCGGAGTGCCTGCTAGGCCTAACTGTCGTGCTCGCTTGGTCGCGTTCGGTGGAATATTGGCCGCTGGAGCTTTTCCCGGGTGTTCGTGGATCCAGCGTTCTTGTTCGTCGTGGTATGTTTGAAGTGCTTTTTACTTTTTTTTTTTTTTTGCTGCTTGAAGTCGGGACGCGTGAGAAGCGTACGTAGAAAAATAAACGTCCGTGGGTCGTCGCGACCGCGACGCTGTCGGCCATGATGATTTGATCGTAAGAAGTGCTATGACAGCTTCGGAGCTGTCGTAGGATTTCGTCGTAACCTGCGCAAAACTTACGAAAATTTCGTTTCGTGAATACGAATTTGTTCTTAAGTTATGTCTTACGCACATTTTTGGCGTAAGATCGTTTCGTGAATCTGGCCTCTGCACTTCCGACAGTCGCAGGAAAGGCAAGACAGACGAAGACGACGTTGCGAGCAGACGACGTTGCAAAGGAGCAGATGACGCTCAGATAGGGGGTCGCCACTGATCTCTATGCCTATTTGCTGGATCGCGTTTGACCAGCTCCTCCTATGGACCGGGATGCGGTCACTGGCGGCCATCTTTCGGTAGAGTTATATCATCTCTAGCCATCATAGTAATATGGCGGACAGCGCAATGGCGGCAGGCTGCCATAAAAATAGCCGTAGATCTAGTACACTGTACCGTGGGTGACATTTCGTGCTTGATTGAAGTTGTTCGACGAAGCAGATTCTTGAAACCCGGCGTGAACGGTAGCCTCATCTTTGAGGACCCGCAAAAAGTTCTACGAAAGCGCAGCACCGGCGGAAAGCAGCGCAGCTCGCATCAAAAGCAGACTCCGTACCGTCGTCTGCTTTCGATGCTTCTTTCGATGCGACTTTCGATACGTGCTGTGCTGCTTTTCTCCCGGTGCTTCGATTTCGTGAAACTTTTACCAGGTCCTCAGAAACCGGACTACTGTTCACGCCGGGTTTCAAAAACATGTTTCGTCAAATAATTTTAATCAATCACGCATTATCACCCACGCTATTTTGACCGCAGCCTGCCAACCCACCTGCCAAAACGCTATCTGCTATGGATGGATGATAGCGGCTGCAGCAGCTTACATTGGCTAGAGGTGATATAACTCTACCTAAAGATGGCCGCCAGTGACCGCATTCGCGGAGCGGGCAAACGCAATCCAGCAATTGTCATAGAGATCAGTGGGGTCGCGATCAGCCAATCAGGGCTTGGCATTCTGACGTCACCGCTACCCCCTGCGCAAGAAGCAGACGAACTTGCCCTCCGCATTATTTCCCATTTTTATCATCGGGGACTAGTATTTCAAACACTAATCCATAAAAAAAAAAAAAAAGCGTTCTCAAGACTTTCTTTGACTGTCCGCACTTGGAATGCTTTGTTCCTTTTTGGTGTATATTTTTCAACAAAAACTTTTTTTTTATTTTTTTCAGAAACCACGATACGCCTTTAAATGGGCATTTTTGTAGAAGCTTGTTTTAATGGCATATTATTTGCTGGGCTTTAGCAAACAAAAATGACCATCTAGATGGAAAAACGTCATAGTAAACTCACAGCAATAGAAATACACATGCATTATTTTCTCTCGGAGGGCCCATCCTCGAGTCCCCACCCCCTGTATGAAATTTGACCAATGAAAATAGTCAATTGCGTGAAGATTCCGAAACGTTACTATTGTTGCTTGTTTTAGGCGCGTTGCGCATTATATTTTTACAAAAACGTCGAATCTTTGGGTGTAGGAGACGTAATACAGCAATTATTGTTTGAAAACGCCGTCTGACGGTGCCCCCTGGTGTCCGTTCCAAGGCGCAGAAAGAGCGGTGTGTCACTGATTAAATTTTTAATAGGGAAATCGGCCGGCCGTGTAATTTCGGATTTGTTAGGATGCTTAGAGCCCGTAGATTGAGTTATCACCATAAATAGACGATCTCGGAGTCTACCAAGCTATAAGCGGTAATTACTTCCTAAAGTTACATGAAATGGCAGAAACTGCAGTTTGAAACTACCTTAGTTACGGTTTTGGAGTTACTAGTGAATTAGATCGATTATGATTAGTTTTTAAAATTACATTGACAATCAAAAATTTCATTTATTTAGGAACGGCGTTAGCGGTATACGGTTATATCACTGCCCCGTACAGCAAAGTGTTGAATCCCCAAAATGGGAGCACAAAAGACACAACTCTGCTCCGCGTCATGTTCAGTTACGTGAACCTCAAGTTGTCCCTGAAGCGGCACTTTCCGGTTTAGGGAATGAGCACTCACAATGTATTGAGAAAGAGGAACTTCATGAGGCACCAGAACATGGCGATACCGAGCAGATTGGCGGGCATCAGTAGCAGCCACCAGATGCGTCTGGTCAGCACGACCTGCTGGAACCTGCTACAGAGGGCGCGACAGCCAGGGTCGCATCCAAAACAGTTGGAAGCACAACGAGGGCATATTGTTAACGCGTCGCGTTAATTTAAGGTACTTTAATTATCAACGCGAACTCTATCACAACATTTGACCCTACCCCGTTGACTGCATCAGCGCCCGTAATCATTGCAAATCTCAGAAGTTATTTTATTTTTTTAGAACACTCATTTGGTAACAAAATTAGTGCTCTGTACGAGCAGACGCCTATTTGTCCGACTCATTTTACAGCCAGAATGACTATTTATGGTTCTCTATATTTTGTAAAACGTGTTAGTAGCTAGCAGGTACAGGCAGACCCATGGCAAACGTGTTAGTAGCTGGCAGGTACAGGCAGACCCATGGCGGATCCAGGGGGAGGGGGGCAAGGGGCTCAGCCCCTCCCGCGACCTTCAAACTGGTTTCATCAAAATCAAAGAAAACGAGAAAAAAAAAAAACACGAATTGGAGCTATCCTTAAACATCTAAAACGTTAAGATTCACATGAAGAAAACCTGTATTACAGCTTTATTTTGTTTTGAACGGGAACACCGTCCACACAGAACTGTTCACGAGGCTGGTTCTTCCTTCGGACTCCTTTATCGCCTTTCTTTCTCTTATCGGTACGGGATTCCTAGTCAAACTGGTCAACCACATCTAGGTACCCAGAGCTTTCATTGTTTCAAGCGCGTCTCCACACGTTGGTGCTGCCTGGCTCATAAGGGGTTGGTATAGGGTTTCGTGTTTTCGGGGTTTATTTTTCTTAAAATTAGTGTATGATTTTTGTGGGTTTACTTTCCCCGCGGATTCTGTGTTCTTCCGTGACAACTTTTGGTGTTGGACAAAAAAAAGAACGGCGTTTATCGAAGATCATGTTGAAGAAAATGTTGTATGTGATTCCCCAACCACCGTGGAACATTCGGGTGATCCGAATAATCGAAAGACATCCCCGTACCGGCGAGAAAAAGAAACGAGATGTGGGGATCCAGAGCAAAAACCAGCCTCGCGCGGACGGTTCATTCGAGGCAGTATCTCGTACCAAAATAAAACTGTAGATGGAGATTTTCTTCCCGCAAAGATTGGGTCTTTTCTTATTCAAGGGCCGATTTTGATAAAACCAACGTGGGGGTTAATTTTTTTTTTTTTTTTTTGGTTTATCGGGATGTACCTAAAAACCTAAACTAAATCTTGGGTCGTGCGAATTGGGCACAGAGTTAAATCAAGATTCCATTATCCCTTGCTTCGAAGCGGGATATCGCAATCGTGTCTTGAGTGTCGCTGAGGAGAAAAGACCTATCTCTACTATTTATACGTGCGTTTAAACAAAGATACAACACGCAATGAGGTGTGCAGCGAGTGTTCCCTCTGTGTCCCCCCATATCCTTTCTTTTTTTCAATCCTGCCCCCCCACCCCTTTTGGAGGATCCTCTGGATCCGCCTCTGGACTGACCATTCCAATTATCGCCTTCCATACGCTGTCATTCTGAGCATGCTCTTTTCTGCTGAATACCGGACGCCTCGCATTTGTCCACAGCTTCGTGACTCGACATTTTAGACCCTGGTGTTCAAATCTTTCGAGGCGTGTAGCCTCGGGACGCCATATTTTAGCATGTTCTTACCATGGACATACTCAGAACGATCTGCTGCTTATCATCTGTTAAAAAAAAAATAAGTCCTAATAATATGGAATATAAGTGATGTACGCTTTGTGGATACACACCTCCAGTATATGCTCAAAAGTAATGGACTCAACTATGGCCGCCAGTGGAAGTTGTATTGTTGGGTATTGTAATGACACCAAATTACTGAAATAACAACTTACCAACCGACACTTGATCAGTATGATCACAAAAATCGAAGAACTTTATATATATATCAGTTACAAAGGACGTTCATGAACGAGAAAGTTATCGAAGGCAATGCGTCATTTAAATTTAAACAAAATGCTAGATTATACTAAGAGATCGAGTAATTATACCGGTGTCAGCAACACTAAGAAGTTTCACCATCAGAAGAAAAAAAAAAAGAAACCCAGTGTAACAAGACGAGTCCTGAGAATTCTTGCAAGTGCAGTTCCTCGGTGGTTTACCCTTCGAGATAGCCGAACACATATTTGTGGACACTGCTGTGGACACTCGAAGCCATGGAGGAGAGCGACGCGCTGACCACGACACCGATCAAAAGGAAGCGCCGAATGGTATGGTACCGCCTGCGTGGACCAGGCAGGCCATTGGACAAAGAATGCCCCCCGTCAGCATACATGCACACACTAGTTTAAAAAAAAAAATAATTGTGTACTTTTCTTGAGTTAAAAAAAGCCACTAAGTATGTTACTCATTAGAGTCTCAAAGGAATCGCGTTACTTTACCCATACGGTAAGGAGCAACTTTTCTCGCTCCCGTTCATGTTAAAATGGTGGTCAACGTAAAATTATGCAGATGCGTAACTAAATGCGAATTCCTGAGAAACAAAACAAACCAACTTAAACGTTGTTTTTTTTTTTCAGGTTTGTGAGGTAAATATACAAACAATTAATTTTGTACGTTTGCAATGGTATCCGTAGCCACAGCACCAGTCGGTCTGAGGACGGGATTGGTGTTGTACACTTTTTTTCAGAGGTGTACCAAGGTACCGTTACCGATTATATTTTTCATAAAATAACTAAATTATGTAACTTATTTCAGTTCGTGAGAACTAACCAAGTCAATCTCGTTACCGCACACCGTAACAAATTACAGGAAACGTATATATAAGTCTGGTCATATGTGCCATTGGCCACACGTCAACTCACTCTTTCTTCCAAGAAATAATCTGTTGGAGCTGGTTTAGCTCAGGAGATTTCTTGGTCCTTGAGCGTTGTCTATTGTCTGCACAAAAACCCAAGATATGAGTCTGTGTCATTTTACCTGTGCAGTCCCCTGCAGTATGAAAGAACCATTCGCCTATCCAGTTTATGCGTTGTTATTAAGCCCACACATGCCAGACATATAATTTTGAGGGAGCTAGGGGAAAGAACGAAGGTAAATTATTTTTTTTCGTACTAAGAAATGTTGTCCTTGTAAAAAATAATTCGCCAGATACACCACAGGATTCATTCTAATGGGTCTTACATATTGCAGGTGCAGGCACGTAGCCAGGGGGGTGGACCATGGGGCCCGGGCCCCCCCGAAATCTTCCATTTTGCTGGGACCTCCTCTCCCTCATACAGCATTTTGTCATGAGCGCCCCCCCCCCCCCCCCCCCCGTAACAAAATCCTGGCTACGTGCCTGTGCAGGTGACATGGATTATAGATAAATTGCATGGACGTCACATTAGCAGTCATTTTTGCAGTCTTGCTGCTGAGCCCGTACCTTCTCCAGCATACATATACATATATTAAAGTGTTGACTGAAGTCCCCTTAGTTCAATTTATCCAGCTTACTCGTCTTTAGTTTTCCGCCTGCTAGCCCATGTCTTATGTCCGTTTGGAAAAGAACTCACGGTCGATGCACTCGAGGCTTTTAGGATGCGGCAAGTCCTTTCCCGGGACAAGGACGTGGCCATCTTCCATAATGGACGTCTGTTTCCGGCCCTTGCGCGCGATTCCCGGCACGGACAGGGCCGACTTGGCGGGCTGCGACGGATGCAGCGGAGGCGTATGGTGCACCACCACCTCTTCCTCCGTGTCCGTCGAGCACGCGGGGCTCATTCTTGACACCTGGACAAGCCAAGTCATCTATGTGCAACTTGTAGGCGTGGGCTTGTACCATCCTCCCCGAACGAGTCAGATCCGCTAACCAAAGTCCTCCCCCACGCAAGCACCAGCTACCAGGCTTAGCGAGGCCCTAAGATCAAGACGAAACCAGCAGCCACAAGGCGGCACCCGAAGGCTGGGACCTGCAGGCGGCTCCATGTAGACAACGTCTTTATGGAGCTATCAAATCGACGCGCTCATAGAAGTAGCCTCTTCGAGAAGACTCAAGGGCGATTCACACTGCATCAGCTCCAAAAAAAAAAAAAAAAAAACGGGGTCAAAACAAGTTTTGTTGGAGCCGGCGAAGCTGTTGCCATAGCAACCCCCGCGCTCGATCGGACTCGTCGCAAGTGTGTGAATCGCCTTTCAGAATCCGATTTTTTTTTTTATAGCTTCTTAGCAAAACTCTATTTCAAGGACTTGCTGCCAGCTGCGACCACCCTTGTTTTGTTTGATAATCGTCCAGATTTTCGGCTTCTTTTTTTTCCAAAATGAGTTGCTGGGCGAGTTGGATAGACATCTTGACTTCTTTTTTTTCCACCGACCCGCCATACCTTTATGCAACGTATGCATTTAGCGGTAATTTTCGGTAATTACCGTAAATGCGTTGTGTGTCGTGTTTTTTTTTTTTTTTTTCCTCGCTGTGCTGAGGGAGCTATGTGCTCGACGGACCAATCATCCGCCCCCCTTCCCTTTTCCATCACCTGACCTTGCTCTCTGCGGATTGATGTGTGCGTGAGCTTGATCATCACGTGGCGAAAGATGAACACATGACTGGTCCAACGAGCACGTAGCTTCCACCGTCCCGAGTCGCTGCTCACCTCGTGTTGTATGAGTTGCGTGTCAGTGGCGTTGACGTCCATTAAGCAGTTGAGCACCCAGGAGTTGGCGTACTTTGGATTGGCCATCCTGGGAATCACCTCGCGACCCAGGAAAAGTCGGCTCTTTTCTGGCGAGTCCCACTTGAGAACCGAGGTGGCTGTCTCGCCTGCGAACCCAGGGATTTATTCCAGTTTCAATGACTATTTAACGTATCTTATATTCTGCAACAAGCCAGGCGGAGGCACGACCGCTTGCATCAGGAATTAATTAACGTTTCTCCAATCTGGATTGGATTGGACTGGCTTAAGCTGAAGTCCATTAGCTCGTAGCGTCGGCTACGTCTGGACTTAAGCTGAAACGAGGTATATCCACATTCACATTAAGTCCGGCCGCAGTCGAAGACACAACCCAATGGAGCCAATCAGGTAGCGTCAGAAGTGCCTCGTCACGACGCTCGCCGCCTTTGCGCATTCGCTATCACCGTGTCTGTCCGTCCCGTTTTGTCCCCTAGCTCCAGGGTGTGTCTACCGACTCAACTATTCACGCACAGTGAATGCTGCACAATCCTGCGCTTTGTTCTGTGCCCGAGAAGACACCGAAACAGTATTTAAAACGAATAACCCGAACGTCGTTACGTCAAACTACCCATATAAACAGCGCCGCTCCGCGGAAGTACGGCGGGATGAAGCTCTGTGCGCCGCCGTATATTGGCCGAACCAGCACCTCTTAGGTAACAAAGCCGTGTCGTGCTGAACGAGACTGCGTCATCGGCGAAGCCCAACGCTGTGCGCAGACTGGACACGACGATTGCGTCCACGTTCGGCTCGGAATTGAATCAAAGCCGAGCGCTGACGCAGCCCTCGTTTCCAATTTGTGTCCAGCGTTGGCCTTCGGTGGTGACGCAAAAATGTCAGCACTATGGCCTTGTTTTCTAGGCCGTGTTGGCCGAACCGAATTTCCCTTCTTTCCCGCGCCTATTCAGCTCCTGTGGGAAGCGGGGAGTGGGCATCTCGAACGCGACCAGGTTGCAACGCGTTGACGCCACCAAGTGGCGAAGTTCACAACCACGCCAGCCTTCATGTAGCCTTGCCCGTGAAGGGAAACGTCAATGAAAAAACAGTGAGTGCGCAGGCGAGCTGGTGGATGTTGATCATGATGTAGAAAACCCGAGACTGTTGTAAAAGCAGCGAAACTTGGTCGAAGAAGACGTTCTTTTCCCCTGTCTTTCTTCTTCGACCAAGTTTCCCTGCTTTTACCACAGTCTCGGGTTTTCTACATCTTGAAGGGAAACGTGACGTCACGAACGCGCTGGATGCGCCGGATCTCCCAGGGGGCATCGCGCGCTACGCTCGCTGGCAAATCGGAACTAAAAATATAGCCATCCGATCGAAATACAAATGCGCGATTGCCATTAGCAGATTTCGTTGATCATGTTTAACCCATAAGAGGTATATCTCAAATTTGATTTCAGTGTCCCTTTAACGGGATACTACAACGAAATTTCGGTGCTTATTTCTTGGTCTATTCGTGCTCAATGGAGCATTATCACATCAGACACACCAATCTCTTGTTGAAAAAGACACAAAAAGGAATTTTAAAACGAATTAAAATAAATAGAACACGATGTATAACTATATGGGGCCCAGAAGGCGTATCCGACTGGAATGTTCAGCGCATTTTAAAGAGTGGTAGCTCGGTTTCCGCCTTATGACGTCACCTTGATATCTGCATCACAAACTGTCAAAGCTCCGATGTTTTCGCTGGAGTACTAACTGCAGATCTGAGTGACCATTTGTCCATCTTTTGTTTTCTTCCAAAAAACAATTCACAACATAATTGCTCCACCACGAATAATAGAGTATTTTGTAGGAATATAAATCAAAATACTTTAGAAAGCTTCTACAGCCTCGTCTCCTTAGAAACATGGAATGACATATTAAAGGAACCAAATCCAGGGAAAGCCTACGATTCTTTCATTACAAAATTACAAGTGTACTACGATAAAGCCTTTCTATTACTTGAGGTAAGAAAACACAAAAAATCAAGAAAGCCTTGGGTTACACGCGAACTCTACAAACGGATAGCAGCGCGCGATAAAATGTTTGCCAAATTTATCAAAACCAAGGATAAGAGTTTAGTAAGCGACTATAAAAAATATAGGAACAAACTTGCACTCGATATTAAAAAAGCAAAACTAACATTTTATCAAAATAAATTTTCTGAAATTTATAGGGACCCTACTAAAATTTGGAACACTATGAAAAAATTAGTGTCAATAGATCATGTTGCTATACCAGAAGAGTTAGAAATCGACGGTTACACATACGCCGGGAGCTTGTTGGCGAACAAGTTTAATGAATATTTTTTGTCGTCAGGTGCCAGCGAATTGCCAGAAGAATGTTCGAATTATCATTGTACCGACCAGGCCGCCTATGACAAACTCAATTTTTCTTCATCCCACTGATGAATTAGAAATACGCAGCATAATAATGTCGTTTAAAAATAGTTGTGTGTGCGGTGATTATGGTATTAAGGTTATCAATATTAAGTTTATAATAGACTTAGTGTTACCCTTTTTAGTTTATATCTCTAATCAGATTCTTGTTTCGGGTATTTTTCCAGATAAAATGAAAATTGCAAAAGTCGGCATTATCCACAAAGGTGGAGCATTTGAAAATCTCAATAACTATAGACCTATATCTGTATTGCCTCTTTTTTCAAAAGTTGCGGAAAAAGTTATTAACTCAAGATTTTATAACTACTGTGCAAGCAATAAACTGATAACTGAACACCAGTTTAGTTTTCAGAAGAAAAAATCAACTGAATCTGCCCTGATACAGATTAAAGACAAAATAATTTCAAATATAGAAAACAATGATTATACAATTGGAATCTTCTTAGATTTTAAGAAGGCGTTGGATTCAATTAAGCACCCAATTCTATTTAAAAAAATTGGAGTCATTTGGAATCAGAGGGAATGCTCTGGAAATAATACGTAGCTATTTATCTTCCCGATTTCAATAAACAACTCTACATGGTTTTAAGTCAAAGTTGGCACCCATTAGATTCGGTGTTCCACAAGGCTCTATTCTTGGGCCTTTATTATTTATTTTATATATAAACGACATTGTGACTATACCTCAACCACGCGATATTATTTTATATGCTGATGATTCGAACGTCTTTTTTTTCTAGAGACCTGCTTCACCTCGAACAAGTCTCCAATAACTGGCTAGAAAATTTATCTGTGAGGTTAAAATATAATCAATTGCTTCAAAACGCTAGTAAAACAAAATATATTATTTTTTAGATCAAAGAACAAACCAGTTTCCTACGAATTAAATATTTGTTTTGAAGGATTAAAAATTGAGCGCGTTAGCTAACACACAAATTTTTAGGTGTCTTGTTTGAAGAAACCCTTAGTTGAACTCCCCATATTGAGAAAATTAGAATCTGTATATCAAGAGCAATAGGATCATTAAATAAACTCCGGAAATATTTACCTAAGTGGTTAAAGTTACAAATGTGCTATACACTTATTTATTTACGATTAATATTGTAAAAAAAGGCCGTTCGATTTATTGGAAACCTTCAAAAATATGATCACTCAATGCCACTTTTTCAGGAGTATAAGATATTGACTGTAGAGCAAATTATGACCCTAAAGGTATCAATCAATATTTTTAACAAGATCAGACAGAATCAATTACTATTTTTTAACACGTATCCAAAAAACCCTGGAAACTAGAGTCTACGATGTAGTCATTATGCAAAAAGCAAAGCTCGTCCAAATTATGGCTTCCAGCAGCTTCCATATATAATTCCAGACACATTGAATACACACCGTGCAAAACATTGGTTCCTTTTGGACATTCAAAGATAACTTTGTAAGATATATTTTAAGTCTCTCATGATCTGCAGTTCGTATCCCGGCTTTTGAGTTGCATTCATTTATGTTTTCTACATGTGCCCGTTGCCCATACAATTTATTTCAGTATTTGTTTTGTTTTGTGCTGAGTGCTGTAAAACAACTAGGGGCTGGGGTCCCGTCAGAAGACAACTTTGTCTTCTTCTATCCCAGCCCCCCGACTTCTCTTTCGTCTGAAATAAAGACCACATACAAAAAAGTGTCCTGTTTTCACCAGCCCTCCGCAACGAAGCAGCCGCCACTGTGCCGGCGCGCCGATGGCCCTGACTGTAGAGTTCCGGCTAGCGTAGCTGGTTGCGGAGAGCGTTCCGGGACAGCGGAAACGATCTTCGAAAACTCCCTGATAACTCGCACCGTCCGCTGCGTCAAACTACGTCACGATTGTGGCGGATGTGATTTGCTCTCCGCTGGCTGCTCTTCGAGCGTTTGCCAGAGTGAGCCGTTTATTTCGAAAAATACAGCCATAAAGCGCGAAACACATGTACGACGAAACCGTCCGATCCGACGTGCGGACGGGTCGGGTCACTACCAGTTCGGCCGGCCCTCGCGGAAGGGCCAAGCCTGGATTAGGGCCGGGCGAGCCGGAACTGCCGAGTGCGGGGGCTAGGCCGACGACTGCGAAAGGGTCGGGAGGGGTGTCGAGGCCGAAAGAGGGGAGAAGGCCGGGCACGGCGGCAAGGCTAAGGGAGGCGAAAGGGCCGAGAACGGGTGTGGGGATTAGAGCGATCAGCACACGCGTGGCTACTCCAGAGTCCAGCGTCGCGGGAATTCGTTGAAAAGAAGACCGACAGATGGCGCGCCCTGTTTTCGCTCCTTTCTGTTTGGAAACCTGTTTAGTCTGGAAACCTGTTTTTTTCTTCTTTTTTTTTTCTTTTCTTTTTAACGCACAGTTTATTAGCAAAACTTTCATAAGGAAAAATATGAGGGAAACCTACCCGGCCTGGATTTCGAAACCCAGGACGGGTTGGTTTCCTTAATATTTTTAACTGAAAATCCACTCGCTAGTTAGGCCAAAGTAGCAGACCTCTTATCCGCTAGGCCATTGATGCATGAGGGATTTTGCGTCAACTCATTAGGAATATAAATAGAAAAAACGAGAATGCACATCCCCTGTTTTTATTTATTTATTTTTATTTTTTCATTTCTTTCTATCACGAATTTTAGCAATCTCAAATAAACTTGCCGCAGCTAAAGGACAGCAAGATGTTTACTTTCAGTCGTGATTAAAACCT